TGCACCGAGGGTCAGGATAAAGATGAGTCTTTGACAGTAGGAGTGAAGTTTTGGGAAAAAGTGGACCCTTGCCTTTTGGCTAATCCATTTGTGGTTTCAGGGTGGGTGAAAACAGAGTTGGGTGCTGTGGAATCGGTGAGGGTAACCAGAAGTGGTCTTGTGAAAGTTGTTTGTGTTTCTGCTGGTCAGAGGGATCAGGTGCTCCGTGTTAAATGAATGGGGGCAAGAGATGTGAATAGTTTTTTCTCTCAAGAAAAGGGCGCCATTGAAAAGAGTGATTACTGGGGTAGCGGTAAATGTGAAAGTTGACCAACTGAAGGGGAAGATTCCCGGTGTTTGTGATGCTTGTTGTTTGGTGCGACGTAGACAGGGTGGCGTGAGTGGTGAAACAAAAGTCGTTGTTTTGAGTTTAGATGTTGAGTCTTTGCCCGACAAAGTGATGTTAGGATATATAAGTTATCCTGTACGAGCTTTTGTGCCGAATACATTACGTTGTTACAGGTGTCAAGCTTATGGGCATGTGGCAGCAGTGTGTAGGAGGAAGGTTCCTAGGTGTGAGAAGTGTGCAGAAGGGCATGAGACAAAGGAATGTGTAGCATTGGGGAAAGTAGTGATATGTGTTAATTGTAGGGGTGCCCATGGGGCTGGGGATCAGAAATGTCCGCTGCGAGAGGCAGGTTGAGATTTCCAGGGTTATAGTAGTGCAGAAGTGGTCATATGCTGAGGCAGTGAAGAAAGTGGAGGAAGATGGGTAAAGGGGGAGGGATCCTGAGAGGAGTGGTGTGAGTAGTATATCTGTACCAGTACAGAGGGATAGGCCAACAAGTGATATATGTTTCAGTAAGATTGGATTTTTAGCATTTATAGCAATGGTTATCAGCTGTACTGCAGGGATGGAACGTAAGTCGCAGAAAATGAAAATGTATGCACTCATTAACTGTAAGTCGCTCTGGATAAGAGCGTCTGCTAAATGACTAAAATGTAAAATGTAAATGTAAAATTGAGGTTGTGGTGGCAGCTGCAGAGAGGTATTTGGGTGTGTGAGACTCTACGTCAGAATAGTTACAGGGTTTGTTAAGTGGTGGTATTTTGTATTATTTTGTTATTTTTTTTATTTCGTGTGAGCGTAGTGTTAGATGGTAGGGTATTTGTTCATTTATTTTTTCAAGCAAAGTACAAGGTAATTATACTCCGGTCTAGTAGGTGGCGGTAATGCAACATTTATTGGATGCCACTTGAGTGTGACCGAACTCACACTCCAGTACAGTAGGTGGCGATCCGCCGATACACATTTAAAGAAGAAGAAGAAGAAGATGTCTTTGAGACTGACTCGGGGTCACGTTTTCAAGAGTTAGCTAGCTACATGAAGACAACTTCAATATTGCTGGATTTGGACAACAATTTCTCGTAACTAACAGGTAATCCAAATGAAATGGAGCGAGGACCAATTTTCCAGCCAATTCATGCAAAACGCGTTTGTAACGTTAGCTAGTGTAGTAGCTAACGTTAGTTGGTTAGCTAGTAGCTAGCTAGCTACCGAATAGCTAGTAGTAGCAGAGATTTAAACCAGAAATACTTTAATTTGTTCAACTATTTCTGTTTAAACTATGTGCTAGTAACAGTGGCTAGTACTAACATGTATCCATCCCCACTTTGATAAACATAGGTACTTAACGTTACATACTTTTATAGTTTCAATTATTTAATAGGCCTACATTGTTTTTTTTCTCATGTTATATGTCTTCCCTGATGATTTGGATTAGTCTGAAAATATAATATATATATTTTTTTTATTTAACCTTTATTTAACTAGGCAAGTAATTTAAGAACAAATTATTATTTACAATGACGGCCTACCAAAAGGCAAAAAGCCTCCTGCGGGGACGGGGGCTGGGATTAAAAATATAGGACAAAATACACATCACGACAAGAGAGACAACACTACATAAAGAGAGACCTAAGACAACAACATAGCATGGCAACAACACATGACAACATAGCATGGCAGCAACACCACATGACAACAACATGGTAGCAACACAACATGGTAGCAGCACAAAACATGGTACAAACATTATCGGGCACAGACAACAGCACAAAGGGCAAGAAGGTAGAGACAACAATGCATCAAGCAGACACAACTGTCAGTGTCCATGATTGAGTCTTTGAATGAAGAGATGGAGATAACTGTCCAGTTTGAATAGACAACATGTCCATGAAATGTGGTGTTATCCAGAATTTTTGTTCATGCGCCGTTTGAGGGACAACTTCTGTGCATGCGCATCTAACGCTAGATGAAGTGTCTTTTGACATTTTAAATTTCTATTTGTAATCTAGCTAGTTAGCTACATTCCAGGGTATTTGAAGGAAGCCGAAATGCCATGAATATACCCATATCTCTCAATAGTAATGTTATAGTAAGTTCTCCAGGAGGGATTTTTTTTCTTCAATGCAATGATGAAATGACCACCATTGTTATGTTTTGCCACTGTAACACCAAAGATTGTGTATTATATTGAAAAAATAGTCGATTGGACAATGGAATTGGCAGAAGATGCATGTTTACGCTGCACTGCACTGCACTGGGGTGCGAACACAATTATGGTTACATTAAGACGGGTGGAGCCGGCGCGAGATATGGGTCGGAAAATGGTACCTCAATGCAGGGATGGGATATGCCACTCGAACTACTCCAAAATGTACCTTTATCCACACTGCTCCATTGAAGATTAAAGTACTGCTACTTTTTCCGGAGAACTGACCTTTTCGTCCTCATACTAGGTAGCAGTAGGCCCACAGCCATTCTGAAATGGCAGGTTCAGCCAATCAGCTCCTTTGTTGTTCAACGCGATGTGCCATTCCATAATGGCTACTGCTAGGGCAGTTTTCTGGGAAAACTAGCAGTATTTCAATCTTCTCAATGAAGCAATTTGGATAAAGGTAAAATTGAGTACAGTGGCATTTCCCATCCCTGCATTGAGGTACGTCTTCCGACCCATATCTCACACCACCTCCATGGTGTCTTAATGTAACAATGATTGCGTTCTGACCCCAGTGCAGGTCAGTGTAAACAAGCATAACGGTAGGGTCGGTGTCTTCTGGCAAACAATGTAAATAAAGGTCTTCAAATGTGGCAGGCAGGCGGAAGGAGGCGAGATCAGGTGGGACCATTCTAACCATTGAGAGGGCAGATACGTGTGAACAACAGGCCATAAAGATAGATAGAGGACTCATCTTTGTACCTGTACCATTATAGCGTCCGTGACAGCATGGGCAGCGCCATTGAGGCTATCTCCATTTTAAAGTAGTACATTTTATTCTTCATTGGCTGATTGCTGCCAACGCATAGGAGTTCCCACCTGTTGACTACTTTAAAATGGTGGAAGCCCTCAATGTCCATTTTAAAGTTCGCTATAAAGTCGTTAAAAAAAAAAAGTTGCAGAAATGCCACGTGCGTCCACTTATATCAGTGCATTCGTAACTACCTAACCATTACCAAACTTATAAATTAGATCAAATAAGCCTCACGCAGCACATTAGCAACTACATTTTTTGTTGACCCTATTTGACACTCATTGATCTCCAAACAAAACAAAAACTCACTTTGTGGGCTTATTTTTTGTGGAAAGATTTTTGGCGGAGTAAAACCTCTCGCTTTGCCTCTTCCTCTCTGATAACACCAATGTTCCTCTCCTGTTAGATGGAGCCAATACACTAACGGGTTTTCTCTTTCTATCATGTAACCTATAAATCCAGGACTTGCTGAGAAGAACACACATCCTTCACCATGTTCCTCACCATGGCCCTGCTGAGGAAAGGCATCTCTGGCAAGCAGTGGATCGGGAAGTACCGCCGGCCGCGTGCCATCACCTGGCAGATGAAACGCAACATGCTGGTGCACCTGGAGCGCGAGGCGGAGAACGAGTACTGGATCTCCCGACCGTACATGACCACAGAGCAGGAGAGAGGACACGCCGCCGAGCGCAGAGCACAGAACTGGCTCAAAATTAAGGAGACCAAGTTTCAAACGTTTCCAGAACATAAGTATATTGCAGATCATCTAAGTCACCTCAACACGACCAAGACATGGTCAAGTTAATGAGGAGGAAGTATTGACTTTGTGTAGGGGGATGGAGAGGGGGCATGCATGTTTACTGCCATTTGACTCCTGTGTGTCTTAATGTATGTAATGTATATGAACTATGGAGTGTTGGAAATTATATCATAAAGCAAGCTCTTATTTGAAAACGACCAGTTCTTTGCTTTATAATACATGTCAAATGGTATTGTGCATATAATATAATATAATATGCCATTTAGCAGACGCTTTTATCCAAAGCGACTTACAGTCATGCGTGCATACATTTTTTTTTGTGGATGGGTGGTCCCGGGGATCGAACCCACTACCTTGGCGTTACAAGCACCGTGCTCTACCAGCTGAGCTACAGAGGACCATAGTCTCATAGTGAGTCTCATAGTCTCAAACCCCGCTGGGACCACCAGATGTTTCACAATTTTGTTGTAGGCCTGAACTTAGTGTAAAGGAGGTCATGTTGCTTGCTTAGCGAGTACCATGGACCTCTGCATCTCAAACACACATGTCCGCCTTCCTGAAGTGTCAACGCGAGTCGTGCCACCGCAAAGCTATACCGTATATCTCCGGCAGATGGCGCTAGAAGTTTGAATGCGGAACCACCAGTTTTGGGGTACCACCAGTCAGGCGCGCTCAAGCAAGCGCGGAGAATTCCCAGATGCGCGTCGCGACGAGCTGTAAACGCTTTATTCGACTTCGCACACGCTTGCTCAACAGGGGGTGCGCAGCCAGCGACTGCGAAAAGTCTTTGTAGCAGTAGCAGCTAGATGAACCCTTTACCTAAAGCTCACTCACTCAGTACAGATAAAAGGGACCATGAAGACAGCCGTCTGGAGTTATCCTTTTGCGGACAGTATCCAGCCCCACCGACCGCTCTCACACACGGACGACTGAATGACGAGGAAGGATGGCCGGAGGAAGGAGAGGACTTGTAGCCCCTCAAAACACTTTTTTAGAAAATATTGTCAGACGATCTAACGGTAAGGATCTTGCACACGTGAGATGCGCTATGCCTATGATAATTCTCTTGAGGATGGAGTAGCCAAAAAAAAAAAAAAACATGTTAGGGTGTTAAATCATCGATGAATCTTACCCTCTTTGGCATGTAAAAACGCATAAGAATGGCGAGGGTCGAGAAACTGCGAGATCTTTCTCCGTTAACGTCGTCGTGACTTCAGAATAATCATAAAACAATTTCCATCTCCTTCGAATCATTTGTGGTCAATTTTCAAACGTAAATGTTTAGTAAAAGTTTGTATGGTAGTCTGAACTTATTAATGGAATGAAATGGATAGGCTTCAACTAGGTTATTTGTCTGGCACATTTCTCTTGTTTACAGTCAGGCTTGGGCACATCCTATTCACAGAAAGTCGCATCCTATTTTATCTCGTGCACATGGTATCAGCTGTGACACACAATTTGGGAAATTATGCAGTTTAAAAATAGCCAAGGCTGTTTCTCGCTAGTCGGCCTATAATGAAGTAAAGAGAAAATAACTTGAATACATTTTATTTCATATACTTCATAAAATTAGAATTGCACTTTAAAGTTGTTTGGCCTGTCGGTTCATTGTGATTTAGCAAAGTTACAGAAAACTACTTTTAGTTCAAAAGCTCAAAGAACGTGTATAACTCTGTCCTCGTGAAATAGTATCCAAAAATCACTCAAATAAAACATAACAGTTTGCATGAAAGAAGTTTGTCACTGTCACTTTAACCATTTTTCTTTTTAACTTTTCAGTATGGACATTATCACATAGACAGACAGGTATAAACCCAACCCATGTATTGGAGTGCTGCTCATGTTTTTCCCCTAATCTCATGCTCTATTAACTCTGTACTATGTTTGTTGTTCTGTACCAATTTATGTTAATTTACAAAGCAAATTAATTCAAGTCTATGACATAGGCTTAACATCCTGGCCTGTTGGATGGATACCTATACTTTCCCTCCCACCTGTTCTCTTTTTATTTAACATCAACTTCTATTAATTTGGGGTCACAAACACTACCCAGCTAAAGTTTCGAAAAACGTTCTGTGTTAGCTGGGTAGTAACTGTTTGTTACTGGTAATTCAATTCCTAGGACGCTTGTTCTTTGTTGGGGCATAGATAACTGATGCTTAGCTACCCATCAGTGATGGCATCCTACTGTTGTTTTAAAAGCCATTGTAAAATAACAAATGTTGGCATGGAACGTTCTACTTCATAGTACTGTGGTTGTGTTTGTGTCAGTAATGTTACTGTTTGTCTTCATTTAGCTTGGTGAAGTTTGTAGTTTGGTAGGATAGTGTGTGTAGTTTGTGTGTTTTTTATTGTTGGGTAGCACATGTAGTTTGTGTTTTGTTCCCATTCCATGTTGATGATGAGTGACATTTTGACACCACAGATGGAACATACTTTATTATTTAGTAAGCTACTGCTGCTGTACCAAGCACGTCTTTCATAATGCCAGGTTGATTTTATGTACTGGCAGATTCAATCATGCTTTTTTTCTAACAACAATGTGAACAACATATTGTGTGTGCAATAGTGGGAGGAACCAATTTATTTAAAAAACAATCTATATTCTCTGTGTGAGAGAGAGACAGTCAGTCCCCTAATCTCATAGCCGACAGGCCAGAAGCCTCCAGAGAGTTAGAGACAAGGAGACAGAACTGAAGCATGTAGCGTGTCTTTTAAATCTTTTATGGTATGAAATATTTATGGTATGAAATGTTTGTCAGTGTAGCTCTTGAGGCTCCACATACACAGCTACAGTATTCTTATCCTATTCCCACTTTCCCTGGATTCTAAGGCATTGTGTGTGTTTGTGTGTGAGAAAGAGAGAGAGAGAATGTGTGTGTGTGTGTGTGTGTGAGAAAGAGCGAGAGAATGTGTGTGCGTGTTCACGCGCCTGTGTGTGGTGTGTGTGTTGCTTCAGAGGATTGGAGTGAAGCTAAGAGTTTCCCTTTGAACATGCAGAATAACAGAGATCATTGGCAGTGTAGTGAGGCGGCAGGTAGCCTAGCGGTTAAGAGCATTGAGCCTGTAACTGAAAGGTCGCTGGTTCGATACCCCGAGCCGACTAGGTGAAAAATCTGTCTGTGCCCATGAGCAAGGTACTTAACCCTAATTGCTCCTGTAAGTCGCTTTGGATAAGAGCATCTGCTAAATGACCTAAAATGTAAAATGCAGTGTATTCATAGTTATTACGCCCAACTCATATAGAGACAGGGATGGAACTACTGTGGTGTGAATGTATAGCTCCGACTTTGATGTTTTTCTTTCTTTGTGTGCTGAAGTCAGCAAAAGGTTAAATCAGGATTTTGTCCCTAAGATCTGGGAGTTTTCTATAATCCTTTGTCATAAATATCCTTAGAATTGCCACTGTATCTTCTCTCCCATAAACAATTGGTGGAACACAGCAATTAAACCACATGTCTGTGGAGTGTAGCTATTCCTGTGCATTTAAGTTGACTCATGAATCTATGGTTGAACCTTTAGGTGCAGTCTTTCCTCGCTCTGTAGCTGTCTGAGTAGCTTCTATGTCAATAATTTGTGAACGGATCAAAAGCCAATTTGATCCTCATCACATTGAGTCATGTATTGTTGTCTTTTTAGAGCTTGCTTTTTCTCCCTTCCCATAAGCAATAATTCATACAAATGTGATATTATACATGTGCTATGTAGCTGCATTGAAACACTATCGTCAGTATAGCAGCGTACTGTAGTAAGCTTCAGTGAGTCTGTGGCTGGGACAGACCAATGTTTCTATGCCGTTCTGTATATGAACGAATAGTTGTAGTCCTATATCTGAAGGGGTATTACATTACATAAGAGAAAGAAACAACAAACTATGATATTTTATAATCACCTGGTAGTATTTGTTAACCTTTAATGTCTATCATTTAGGTTCTCACAGAGGGTTAATGTAATGTTCTCTGTGAGAAATCATCAATTGTACCAGGAACACGTGGAGTGAGATTTTGACAGTGCTAAAAATGGTATCACTTTAAATACGCAGCATGATATTTCAAACCAAATCTACACTGTTTGATTTAAACCCTGCGTGGATTATCTCTACTTTCCCATAGGTACAATGAGTGGTTTTGAAATAAATGCTATTGTCGCCGGTGTTGGGAGTGACATCTCTTTTAACACAAGCTTCACATTTTTGTGCTGTCAAAATAAAGCCCTAGGTGTCATGCAGTGCTTACGTAGGCATTATGTCAGGCTTACGTAGGCATTATGACAGTCTTATGTATACCCCTTCAAGCCTAACTGACACTAACCCTCCCCACATGCAGTGCTTACTTACTCAGCATTAATGGTAAGGATGGTCTGAGACTGAGTACAGTACCCGTATGTGAAGGATCATTCTGCTACTCTGTTTTTACACTGTACTGTAGTGGCTTCCATCATGCGATATGACTGTACTGTCGCCTGTCGATGTCGACCCTGGGTTGGTGTCAACACCATTTCACTTCAGTTTTTTATTAGTTATTTAATTCATGTATTTTGATTTCTATTTCCAAGTCTGAATTGAATTTCAATTCAGTTCCTAATCATGACTGTACTGAAATGCAATTTATCCCAATCCTGCTCCTCTCTTCTCCCCATCCTGCGTAATGTGTTGTAGATAACTGTGACTAATCACCAACGGGTGAGCCTTACCTCCTTCTCTGTTCCCCCTCATCTTTGACAGATACTAATTTTGTCCTTGGGAATGCTCAGATCGTGGACTGGCCCATCGTCTACAGCAACGATGGCTTCTGCAAGCTGTCGGGGTACCACAGGGCGGAAGTCATGCAGAAGAGCAGCACATGCAGGTACAGTACACTGCCTTTCATCTGTTTTTGTAGATATCTAATTTATTGAACAGCAACAATGAACACTGAGGTATTGTGGTTCTTGTTCTTGGTCTTCTTCTTCAGCTCATTTTACTCCCATAGTTCCTAATTTACATAATATTTTCAGATACTGTAGATTCAATCACCAGATTCCTTTTTTTCAGCCCACCAGCATTATAAAATGATGCAAAGATCCCTGGAATAAAAATTACATTGAAAAGGAAAATAGAGGAAAACAAGAGAATCACCTTTCCCTGCCAAACCAAAGCCCATACTTTACAGCTAATTCCACTGTGTTTATCCCAGCCAGCAAACGAGAAGAAATAAACCCCTATTAAGAATAAAATAGACTGAAATCACTCTTCAGACTCTCCCAAAGTGACTTAGTTCCATTTCATCGAGCTCTGCGTGCTCCAAACAAAGCTGGATTAGTTGTTGTTGTGTGAAAAAGCATGGGTGTTTTAAAGCTCTTTTTACACATTTGATCATCGCTGGGAGGTAGCTATTGTTTTCCTTTCCACATTTAAGGTACCATGCTCCCTTCTTTAAGTTCAAACTAAAGTTCTGAGAACATTAAGCACATCTTGCATACAAAAACAACTTGCCACCAATACCCTTTTCACACTACTGAGCCAAGCCGAACCAAACCAAGGTGTACTGGGCTGGCCTGGTTATGCATCCACCATAGTTGCTGGAACTGTGTTGGAAAGGACAACGTGAAAAGAAATCATCTGAGTCAGCACAGTGTGGTTTGAGGTCGGCCCTATAGTGTGAATCAGACACAACAATTCCGGAACCTTAAGGTAACCACTTTTTGTTTGAAGCCAACAGTCTTAGGGAGATTTTTATTTATTTTTATTTAACCAGGTAAGCCAGTTGAGAACAAGTTCTCATTTACAACTGCGACCTGGCCAAGATAAAGCAATGCAGTGCGGAAAAAAACAACAACAACACAGAGTTACATATGGAATAAACAAAACGTATAGTCAATAACACAATAGAAAATCTATATACAGTGTGTGCAAATGTAGTAAGTTATGGAGGTAAGGCAATAAATAGGCCATAGTGCAAAATAATTACAATTATAATTTAGTATTAACACTGGAGTGATAGATGTGCAGAAGATTATGTGCAAATAGAGATACTGGGGTGCAAATTAGCAAAATAAATAACAATGTAAATAACAATATGGGGATGAGGTAGTTGGGTGGGCTAATTACAGATGGGCTGTGTACAGGTGCAGTGATCGGTAAGCTGCTCTGACAACTGATGCTTAAAGATAGTGAGGGAGATAAGTGTCTCCAGCTTCAGAGATTTTTGCAGTTCGTTCCAGTCATTTGCGACCAAAGGAGGTGTTGGCTTTGGGGATGACCAGTGAGATATACCTGCTGGAACGCATACTACGGGTGGGTGTTGCTATGGTGACCAATGAGCTAAGATAAGGCGGGGATTTGCCTAGAAGGGATTTATAGATGACCTGGAGCCAGTGGGTTTGGCGACGAATATGTAGTGAGGGCCAGCCAATGAGAGCGTACAGGACACAATGGTGGGTAGTATATGGGGCTTTGGTGACAAAACGGATGGCACTGTGATAGACTACATCCAATTTGTGTTGGAAGCTATTTTGTAAATGACATCGCCGAAGTCAAGGATCGGTAGGATAGTCAGTTTTACGAGGGCATGTTTAGCAGCATGAGTGAAGGAGGCTTTGTTGCGAAATAGGAAGCCGATTCTAGATTTAACTTTGGATTGGAGATGCTTAATGTGAGTCTGGAAGGAGAGTTTACAGTCTAACCAGACACCTAGGTAGTTGTCCACATATTCTAAGTCAGAGCCGCAGAGAGTAGTGATTCTAGTCGGGCAGGCGGGTGCAAGCAGTGTTCGATTGAAGAGCATGCATTTAGTTTTACTAGCGTTTAAGAGCAGTTGGAGGCCACGGAAGGAGTGTTGTATGGCATTGAAGCTCGTTTGGAGGTTTGTTAACACAGTGTCCAATGAATGGCCAGATGTATACAAAATGGTGTCGTCTGCATAGAGGTGATTCTGAGAGTCACCAGCAGCAAGAGCGACATCATTGATATGCACAGAGAATAGAGTTGGCCCGAGAATTGAACCCTGTGGCACCCCCATAGAGACTGCCAGAGGTCCAGACAACAGGCCCTCCGATTTGACACATTGAACTCTATCTGAGAAGTAGTTGGTGAACCAGGCGAGGCAGTCATTTGAGAAACCAAGGCTATTTAGTCTGCCAATAAGAATGCGGTGATTGACAGAGAAATTGACAAAAGCCTTGGCCAGGTCAATGAAGATGGCTGCACAGTACTGTCTTTTATCGATCGCGGTTATTATATCGTTTAGGACCTTGAGCGTGGCTGAGGTACACCCATGACCAGCTCGGAAACCAGATTGCATAGCAGAGAAGGTACGGTGGGATTCTAAATGGTCGGTGATCTGTTTGTTAACTTGGCTTTCAAATACTTTCGAAAGGCAGGGCAGGATGGATATAGGTCTGTAACAGTTTGGATCTAGAGTGTCACCCCCTTTGAAGAGGGGGATGACCGTGGCAGCTTTCCAATCTCTGGGGATCTCAGACGATACGAAAGAGAGGTTGAACAGGCTGGTGATAGGGGTTGCGACAATTTTGGCGGCTAATTTTAGAAAGAAAGGGTCCAGATTGTCTAGCCCAGCTGATTTGTAGGGGTCCAGATTTTGCAGCTCTTTCAGAACATCAGCTATCTGAATTTGGGTGAAGGAGAAGCGGGGGGGGGGGGGGGGGGGGGGCCAGGGTAGGGGTAGCCAGGTGGAAAGCATGGCCAGCCGTAGCAAAATGCTTGTTGAAATTTTTGATTATCGTAGATTTATCTGTAGTGACAGTGTTTCCTAGCCTCAGTGCAGTGGGCAGCTGGGAGGAGGTGCTCTTATTCTCCATGGACTTCACAGTGTCCCAAAACTTTTTGGAGTTAGTGCTACAGGATGCAAATTTCTGTTTGAAAAAGCTAGCCTTTGCTTTCCTAACTGATTGTGTATATTGGTTCCTGACTTCCCTGAAAAGTTGCATATCGCGGGGGCTGTTCGATGCTAATGCCGTACGCCACAGGATGTTTTTGTGCTGGTCAAGGGCAGTCAAGTCTGGGGTGAACCAGGGGCTAGTTCTGAATTTTTTCAATGGGTCATGCTTATTTAAGATGGAGAGGAAAGCACTTTTAAAGAACAACCAGGCATCCTCTACTGACGGAATGAGGTCAATATCCATCCAGGATACCCGGGCCAGGTCAATTAGAAAGGCCTGCTCGCTGAAATGCTTTAGGGAGTGTTTGACATTGATGAGGGGTGGTCGTTTGACCGTGGTCCCATTACGGACGCAGGCAATGAGGCAGTGATTGTTGAGATCCTGGTTGAAGACAGCGGGGGTGTATTTAGAGGGTAAATTAGTCAGGATGATATCTGAGGGTGCCCATGTTAACAGATTTAGGGTTGTACTTGGTAGGTTCCTTGATAATTTGTGTGAGATTGAGGGCATCTAGTTTAGATTGTAAGACGGCCGGGGTGTTAAGCATATCCCAGTTTAGGTCACCAAGCAATACGAACTCTGAGGATAGATGGGGGGCAATCAATTCACATATGGTGTTCAGGGCACAGCTGGGGGCTGAGGGGGGTCTGTAACAAGCAGCAACAGTGAGAGACTTATTTCTGGAAAGGTGGATTTTTAGAAGTAGAAGCTCAAACTGTTTGGGCACAGACCTGGATAGTATGATAGAGCTCTGCAGGCTATCTCTACAGTAGATTGCAACTCTCCCCCCCTTTGGCAGTTCTATCTAGACGGAAAATGTTGTAGTTGGGAATGGACCTTTCTGAATCTTTGGTGGCCTTCCTAAGCCAGGATTCAGACACTGCTAGAACATCAGGGTTGGCTGAGTGTGCTAACGCAGTGAATAACTCAAATTTAGGGAGGAGGCTTCTGATGTTAACATGCAAGAAACCAAGGCTTTTGCGATTACAGAAGTCAACAAATGATAGCGCCTGGGGAGCAGGAGTGATAGTGGGGGCTACAGTGCCTGGGTTAACCTCTACATCACCAGAGGAACAGAGGAGGAGTAGAATAAGGATACGGCTAAAGGCTTTAAGAACTGGTCTTCTAGTGTGTTGGGTACAGAGAAAAAAAGGGGCCGATTTCCAGGCGTTGTAGAATAGATTCAGGGCATTATGTACAGACAAGGATATGGAAGGATATGACTACAGTGGAGGTAAACCTAAGCGTTAGGTAAAGATGAAAGAGAGAGCATCACTGGAGGCACCGATTGAGCCGGTCTCCGCGTTTGTGGGGGGTGGGACAAAGGATCTATCTGAGACAGGTTGAGCAGGACTGGGGGCTCTACATTGAAAATGTACAGTTAGAACTAACTGAAACAGCAATAGACAAGGCATATTGACATGGGAGATAGGCATAAAGCAGTCACAGGTGTTATTCGAGAGAGCTAAGACAACAGCTGATAATGGCAACGAAAGTTTGAGCTGAGGCTAAACAGATCAACAGGATGGGGTACCGTATAAAGGAACAGTCCAGCAGGCATCAGCTGTGTAGCTGAGTGATCATAAGGTCCAGTGAACAGCAATAAGTAAGTCCGGGAGCAGTTCAGTGGCTGCTACGTTACAAGCGAGCTGGAGGCACGGCTGTTGATTGCGTGTGCTAGCGGGCCGGGGCTAGCAGATGGATCTTCGTGGTCGTCGCAACGGGAAGCCTGTTGAAACCACATCAGACAATTACGTCGGCAGACCAGTCGTGATGGATCGGCGGGGCTCCGTGTCAACACTAGGAGGTCCCGTCCGGTTGACAGAGAGGTAGATAGCCGGGAGACGGGCCTGGCTCGAGGCTAGCTCAAGGCTAACTGGGGTTAGCTTCTGGACAGTGGTGATTAGTGGTGATTAGCCAACAACGACAATAGCCATTCGGTTGCAGCTAGCTAGTTGCGATGATCCGGTGTTAAGGTCCAGTGATTCAGTGATTCCGGCAGACAATCCGATATGCTCTGGCTCGATAGCCCGATGTGCAGACTGTGCAGACTGGCCGATAATTGTTCAGGCTAGAGCTGGCTGGTAGGTAGTGCAGGCCACGGCCACGGACAATGGTGAAGACCACTAACGGTGGCTAATAGCAAGTAGCTAGTTAGCTGGCTAGTTTCAGCCTGAGGTTCTGGATAAAAATGTATGAAGAAATAATAGAATCCTTTCCACATTGGTTGAGATGTCGCATCCTTGCAGCTATTGTCCAATAAGAAATGCTTTTGTTCATTCTCTTTTGAAAAATGTTTTGCTACAGTGTGCGCTAATGAAGACAACCCAGTCTATAAGGCGCATGGTGTGTCGACATGTTCATGTCAGGAGTGATGTCAGATGAAGCCAACAGTCTTTGGGAGCCGTCGCGCCTTGATCCTTGCGAGCAGCCCCCAAAATACAGTCTCATTAGAATTACCCTGTTGTTCAAAGCTAACACAATTTTTTAGATGCACTGGAACAGACTGTACCTCAGGATGGCTGCAATCAGTGGTGTGAGACCAGAGTGTGTTAAACCAGAGAGTGTGTGCGTGCTGGTGCATGTTAACTGTACCTTGAAGATGGATATTTTGAGTATCAGATAATTAAAATGGATCGGTGTGCCAACAAAGGCCCTTAGATCATTGTTTCTCAACCTGGACCACTGGCCATTAAACATGATCAATCCAACCAATTAACTAATCATCAAGCCCTTAACTGCATCTCAGTGCTAGAGGCGTCACTACAGACCCTGGTTCGATTCCAGGCTGTATCACAATCCGGCCGTGATTGGGAGTCCCAGAGGGCGGCGCACAATTAGCCCAGCGTCGGCCGGGTTTGGCTGGGGTAGGCCGTCATTGTAAATCAGAATTTGTTCTTTTACATTTACATTTAAGTCATTTAGCAGATGCTCTTATCCAGAGCGACTTACAGTTTAGTCACATTATTATTATTATATATATATTTTTTTCATACCCCCTGTGGGATACGAACCCACAACCCTGGCGTTGCAAACGCCATGCTCTATCAACTGAGCTACATCCCTGCCGGCCATTCCCTCCCCTACCCTGGACGACGCTGGGCCAATTGCGCGCCGCCCCATGGGTCTCCCGGTCGCGGCCGGCTACGACAGAGCCTGGATTCGACCACTGCGCCACTCGGGAGTTCTTAACTGACTAAATTAAATAAAGGGTTAAATAAAAATAAATAAAATAAAAACTAGTTGAGATGTGCTAGTGGTGGAACAGATCTAATACAGATGTGATAATTTAATTTGACTCTACATTCTATGGCAGCAGCAGGGGGCGAGAGAAATAGACAGAGAGAGTAGTAGACAGAGAAAGTTAAGAGTTAGAAGGACAGAAAAACGTAGAAAATGAGAGAGACATACAGTTGAAGTCGGATGTTTACATACACTTAGTAGGTTGGAGTCATTAAAACTCATTTTTCAACCACTCCACAAATTTCTTGTTAACAAACTATAGTTTTTGCAAGTCGGTTAGGACATCTACTTTGTGCATGACACAAGTAATTATTTCACTTATAATTCACTGTATCACAATTCCAGTGGGTCAGAAGTTTACATACACTAAGTTGACTGTGCCTTTAAACAGCTGGAAAAATTCCAGAAAATGATGTCATGGCTTTAGAAGCTTCTGATAGGCTAATTGACATCATTTGAGTCAATTGGAGGTGTACCTGTGGATGTATTTCAAGGCCTACCTTCAAATGCAATGCCTCTTTGCTTGACATCATGGGAAAATCAAAAGAAATCAGCCAAGACCTCAGAAAGAAATATTGTAGACCTCCACAAGTCTGGTTCATCCTTCGGAGCAATTTCCAAATGCCTGAAGGTACTACGTTCATCTGTACAAACAATAGTACCCAAGTATAAACACCATGGGACCACGCAGCTGTCATACCGCTCAGGAAGGAGATGCGTTCTGTCTCCTAGAGATGAACGTACTTTGGTGCGAAAAGTGCAAATCAATCCAAGAACAACAGCAAAGGACCTTGTGAAGATGCTGGAGGAAACAGGTACAAAATTATCTATATCCACAGTAAAATGAGTCCTATATCGACATAACCTGAAAGGCCGCTCAGCAAGGAAGAAGCCACTGCTCCAAAACCAGACAATGATCCCAAGCATACTTCCAAAGTTGTGGCAAAATGGCTTAAGTACAACAAAGTCAAGGTATTGGAGTGGCCATCACAAAGCCCTGACCTCAATCCTGTAGAAAATGTGTGGGCAGAACTGAAAAGCGTGTGCGAGCAAGGAGGCCTACAAACCTCACTCAGTTACACCAGCTCTGTCAGGAGGAATGGGCCAAAATTCACCCAGTTTATTGAGGGAAGCTTGTAATAATATAATAATATGCCATTTAGCAGACGCTTTTATCCAAAGCGACTTACAGTCATGCGTGCATACATTTTTGTGTATGGGTGGTCCCGGGATCGAACCCACTACCTTGGCGTTTCAAGCGCCGTGCTCTACCAGCTGAGCTACAGAGGACCACTTGTAGAAGGCTACCCAAAACGTTTGACCCAAGTTAAACAATTTAAAGGCAATGCTACCAAATACTAATTGAGTGTATGTAAACTTCTGACCCACTGGGAATGTGATGAAATAAATAAAAGCTTGAATAAATCATTCTCTCTACTATTATTCTGACATTTCACATTCTTAAAATAAAGTGGTGAACCTAACTGACCTAAGACAGGGAATTTTTATTAGGATTAAGTGTCAGGAATTGTGAAAAACTGAGTTTAAATGTATTTGGCTAAGGTGTATGTAAACTTCCGACTTCAACTGTAAGTGAAACAGACAGAGAAGATTTCAGATAACTACATTGTTTGTGCAATCATAAGAAACATTGATAAACACTTCACACACAATAAGGCATTTCAAGAGACTACATTTACACAGCCTAATTTTACTACATTGCTGCACTCTAACATGTCTATGCTCTTGTTTTTGAATGCTACTGGGTGTCATTAAAAATGAACACTGTTGTTTTGCATTTGTGTTTCTAGCTTCATGTACGGGGAGCTCACAGACAAGGATACTAGCGAGAAAGTACGGCTAACGTTTGAAAACTACGAGATGAACTCGTTTGAAATACTAATGTATAAAAAAAACAGTAAGTACCAAGTGAATATGAAAAACAGCCTCTTATCATGCTAATGTATTCTGCCATTTCTTATGAATATGTACAATGATGTTCCAACGTCGACTGGAACAGTACTAACCCTGTAGATCATGGGCCGCATCCATAAAGCGTCTCATAGTAGGAGTGCTGATCTAGGATCAGTTTTGCCTTGTAGATCATAATGAATCAGTGGAGACCTGATCCTGGATCAGCACTCCTACTCTGACATGCTTTATGAATACAGGCCCAGTTATAACTTCCTGTCCCGCCAGCAGGGAGCTGGGTCTTTGAGCCCAGTTATAACCATGTGCTTTTTTCACAAATAAGTTTCTGTTGATGGCTGTATTCCCCATTCCCCCGATTGTATCAAAGACTATTATAGATAAAGCTATAATAATGTATGTTCTCTCATCTCAGGAACGCCGGTATGGTTCTTTGTGAAGATAGCCCCTATACGAAACGAACAGGAAAAAGTGGTGCTGTTTCTGTGCACCTTCAGTGACATCACAGCCTTTAAACAACCAATAGAAGATGAAACTTCGAAAGGTGAGTGACAGAGTTTGTAAGTGGCAACAAAGGATGTGGTCCCATTTACTTGAATAGTCCCCTACAGATGTGCAAGTCATAAAAAGCTTTTTGACTACGTTTTACAATAAAGTATTATAATAACGTTATATGTTACGTCTAAAGCCCTCATCAGGGTACTGCTTTTAATCAAAACACATTGTTTTTATGAATAATAACACTCTGGTTAATTCATAAATTCAATCTTGGTCTTCCTTTGCAAAGCTATTAGTACATTCTCATTATTTTCACACAGACTACTAACCCCAAAACCCTTTTCTTGCCTCGTGCTCTCAGGTTGGGGGAAGTTTGCCCGGCTAACTCGTGCTCTGACCAGCAGTAGAGGGGTGTTACAGCAGCTACAGCCTACTGTACACAAGGGAGAGAACGTTCACAAGCACTCCCGCCTAGCTGAGGTACGCTAATATTTATGTCTATTGTACGTGTTTATAACTACACTGATAAAGCTAGGTATTTTGTGTGTGTGTGTGTGTGTGTGTGTGTGTGTGTGTGTGTGTGTGTGTGTGTGTGTGTGTGTGTGTGTGTGTGTGTGTGTGTGTGTGCATGCGCCATTCCATTTGGTTATGGTGGAGGCATGTGCCCCTGTGCTGTGAATCCATTTGTCTCTGTCCTTTTTTGTGATTATAGAGATGCACTGAAATGATAACACACACACACACCCATGTACACACACACAGATGTACACACACACACCATATATGGATGTAACAATATCTAAGCAACCTTTAAAGGTAGACTCAGCGATATAACATAGATGCAGAAAGTAAACATCATAGTGGGTCAATTTCCGCAACAACTAAGAGCGTTGAAGCACGAGGCTCAACTTCTCCTCTGTTTTGGGCCCCTGGCTACCACACTGTAACAGCATGAAGTGAACCTGTGCACAGGCGCAGATACTGTGTGTGACTGTGTGAGAGCAAAGTCTTGCATCATCGCTGATCTCAATATCTGCAGTGCTGCTTGTGGCAACGTCATTTCGCTGAGTGTACCTTTAGGTGAACTGTAACCTCTTGGTTTACACCAAACCCTTTTATTCCATCAAACTCATCAAAGATATACAATCTGCAGGTCCTCCAGCTGGGCTCAGACATCCTCCCCCAGTACAAGCAGGAGACGCCCAAGACGCCGCCCCACATCATCCTCCACTACTGTGCCTTCAAGACCACCTGGGACTGGGTCATCCTCATCCTCACCTTCTACACGGCCATCATGGTTCCTTACAACGTCTCCTTCAAGGTCTGAACCATAGAATTACATATACTTTATCCCTTACCAAGATGGCTGCCATTATCAGCATATTCTATCTAGAGCTATGCAGGTGTGACATCAATCACTCTAATTTGTATTCTATATCTCGGTCCCACTTTAAACAAAGTACAACTTGTAAAGGCTTTATATAACATACAGTACCAGTCAAAAGTTTGGACACACCTACTCATTCCAGGGTTTTTCTTTATTTCTACTATTTTCTACATTGTAGAATGATAGTTAAGACATCAAAACTATGACATAACACATATGGAATCATGTAGTAACCAAAAAAGTGTTAAACAAATCAAAATAGCCACCCTTTGCCTTGATGACAGCTTTGCACACTCTTGGCATTCTCTCAACCAGCTTCATGAGGTAGTCACCTGGAATGCATTTCAATTAACAGGTGTGCTTTGTTAAAAGTTAATTTGTGGAATTTCTTTCCTTCTTAATGCGTTTGAGCCAATCAGTTGTGTTGTGACAAGGTAGGGTTGGTATACAGAAGATAACTCTATTTGGTAAAAGTCCAAGTCCATCTTATGGCAAGAACAGCTCAAATAAGCAAATAGACAAGTTTCTTCAAGTGCAGTCGCAAAAACCATCAAGTGCTATGATGAAACTGTCTCTCATGAGGACCGCCACAGGAAAGGAAGACCCAGAGTTACCTCTGCTGCAGAGTATAAGTTCATTAGATTTACCAGCCTCAGAAATCAGTAACTGCACCTCAGATTGCAGCCCAAATAAATGCTTCACAGAGTTCAAGTAACAGACACATCTCAACATCAACTGTTCAGAGGAGACTGTGTGACTCAGGCCTTCATGGTCGAATTGCTGCAAAGAAACCACTACTAAAGGACACCAATAATAAGAAGAGACTTGCTTGGGCCAAGAAACACGAGCAATGGACATTAGACCGGTGGAAATCTGTCCTTTGGTCTGATGAGTCCAAATAGGAGATGTTTGGTTCCAACCGCCGTGTCTTTGTGAGACGCAGAGTAGGTGAACGGATGATCTCCGCATGTGTGGTTGCCACCGTGAAGCATGGAGGAGGAGGTGTGATGGTGTGGGGGTGCTTTGCTGGTGACACTGTCTGTGATTTATTTAGAATTCAAGGCACACTTAACCAGCATGGCTACCACAGCATTCTGCGGCGATACACCATCTCATCTGGTTTGCGCTTAGTGGGACTATCATTTGTTTTTCAACAGGACAATGACCCAAAACACACCTCCAGGCTGTGTAAGGGCTATTTGACCAAGAAGGAGAGTGATGGAGTGCTGCATCAGATGACCTGGCCTCCACAATCACCCTACCTCAACCCAATTCAGATGGTTTGGGATGAGTTGGACCGCAGAGTGAAGGAAAAACAGCCAACAAGTGCTCAGCATATGTGGGAACTCCTTCAAGACTGTTGGAAAAGCATTCCAGGTGAAGCTGGTTGAGAGAATGCCAAGAGTGTGCAAAGCTGTCATCAAGGCAAAGGGTGGCTACTTTGAAGAATCTGAAATCTAAAATATATTTAGATTTGTTTAACAATTGTTTGGTTACTGCATGATTCCATATGTGTTATTTCATAGTTTTGATATCTTCACTATTATTCTACAATGTAGAAAATAGTAAAAATAAAGAAAAACCCTTGAATGAATAGGTGTCCAAACTTTTGACTGGTACTGTACATAAATGCTTCACAAATCATCTATAAGCGTATGTCATGACTCATTCTCTATAAATAGTGTATAAACATACAAAGTGTGTTATTTCACAATTCACTCTACAGTGGGAATGGTTATGTCACCCTTTATACAACATTTTTCAAGTATGACATACGCTTATAGATGATTTGTGAAGCATTTATGTAGTGATTATGAAGCCTTTATGTATGCTTTATAAAGCCTTTATAAGTTGTACTTTGTTTAAAGTGGGACCTATCTCAATGGCCTAACAAAGATTATATAATCTACTATAATAAAGATCCTCTCCTGTCCTCAAGGATATATCAAAAATGTAGGCTAATAATCTTGGGGATGTAATATAGATTCTCTACTCTAAAGCAAATTGCCATTTGGGAATAACACAGATTCTCTACTATACTGCTCTATTAAGATTCTCTCCTCTACTATAACAAAGAGTATCTACTCTACTACTGTACAATCACAAAGATTCTCCCATCTCTTCCTCCAGACCAAGCAGAACAATGTGACGTGGCTGGTGGTGGACAGCATCGTAGATGTAATCTTCCTGGTGGACATCGTGCTCAACTTCCACACTACCTTTGTGGGCCCGGCCGGAGAGGTCATCTCCGACCCCAAGCTCATCAGGATGAACTACCTGAAGACATGGTTCGTCATCGACCTGCTCTCCTGCCTGCCTTACGACGTCATCAACGCCTTCGAGAATGTGGACGAGGTCAGTACTGTGTGTGTGTGTGTATGTATGTGGTGGGTGTTCGTCATCAACCTGCTCTCCTGCCTGGCCTACAACCTCTTTAGCGCCTTTCGAGAATGTGGACGAGGTCAATCGGGTCTGACAATATTTTGGTAATTTAGCTTTTACAGCTTTAATAGTGGTGTTGCCACTGCCAGCCCCATGCTCTAACCCACAACCCTGGTGTTGCCACTGCTAGGCCCATGCTCTAACCCACAACCCTGGTGTTGCCACTGCTAGGCCCATGCTCTAACCCACAACCCTGGTGTTGCCACTGCCAGCCCCATGCTCTAACCCACAACCCTGGTGTTGCCACTGCCAGCCCCATGCTCTAACCCACAACCCTGGTGTTGCCACTGCTAGGCCCATGCTCTAACCCACAACCCTGGTGTTGCCACTGCTAGGCCCATGCTCTAACCCACAACCCTGGTGTTGCCACTGCTAGCCCATGTTCTACATTAGTAGTCTCTAGTAGTCTAAACCCAGTGAGCTATATTGATTCGCTGCCATTGAAATATTGAAGTGTCAGAGCTTTTCCTTTCCTGTCTGACTATATAATTTATGTTTGGCTAATGACAGCAGCTAATGTCCTAATCCTAATGTCCTTACCCACCCTCCAGAAACCCCAAACACAGCCTTTTCTCAGTCTCTTCCAGAGAACCAATGAGCTCAGCCTTATATTAGCTTATATTACTGGATGTCAGGCTGTGTGTGTGTGTGTGTGTGTGTTTGTACGAGTTCAGCCTGTTAACCAGCGTATGTTACTGGACATCAGGCTCCATTTGAAGGTCCACAAACCTGGCAGCGTTTATTTGTCTTATGGCAGCCTTATAGAGTTATTATGGCGGTCGGTTGTTTTTGATTTGTGACTCCGTCTTCAGTGTGTGTGGCTGTGTTTTCACACAGTAACTAAAGGCCTCTCTGGGTTTTGCGGTTCTCTGAGTGCCTCTTCTCCACGTTTACGACCAGAAGCTGCTCACCAAGAGATAGTAAGGGAATTCAAGGAAAAGGAAGATTCTCTTTGAACAGAAAGAAAATATCCTTCAAGAGCAGCATATTAGCGCCGTCCCTCCTACCTTCCACACACATTCATTCAATTATGGAATTAAACCCGTTTATCCATGAGTGTTAAAGCGTTGAGGCTCGGGCACATATTACTGTATGACTCAGACTGCTGCAGCAATAGGAAATGTAGTATTGCTGTCATTTTCAATATGTGAAGTGCCTTGCTTACTCAAAGGGGTCAGTCTCCTTACCAGAGAATTCAGCAGTGTGTCAGTAGTCACACAACCCCATGGTGATGAGGTATATATACACTACATGACCAAAAGTATGTGGACACTTGCTCGTCCATCTAATTACAACCCCCCCCCCCCCCCCCCCCCCTTTGCTGCTATAACAGCCTCCACTGTTCTGGGAAGGCTTTCCACTAGATGTGGGAACACTGCTGCAGGGACTTGCTTCCATTCAGCCACAAGAGCATTAGTCAGGTCGGGCACTGATGTTGGCCGATTAGGCCTGGCTCGTAGTCGGCGTTCCAATTCATCCCAAAGGGGTTTGATGGGGTTGAGGTCAGGTCTCTGTGCAGGCCAGTCAAGTTCTTCCACACCGATCTCGACAAACCCATTTCTGTATGGACCTCGCTTTGTGCACTGGGGCATTGCCATTCTGAAACAGGAAAGGGCCTTCCCCAAACTGTTGCTACAAAGTTGGAAGCACAGAATCGTCCAGAATGTCATTGTATGCTGTAGTATTAAGATTTCCCTTCACTGGAACTAAGGGGCCTAGCCCGAACCATGAAAAACAGCCCCAGACCATTATTCCACCTCCACCAAAATGTACAGTTGGCACTACGCAATGGGGCAGGTAGTGTTCTCCTGGCATCCGCCAAATCCAGATTTGTCCGTTGGACTACCAGATGGTGAAGCATGATTCATCACTCCAGAGAACGCGTTTCCACTGCTCCAGAGTCCAATGGTGGCGAGCTTTACACCACTCCAGCCGACGCTTGGCATTACGCATGGTGAGCTTAGGCTTGTGTGCGGCTGCTAGGCCTTGGAAACCCATTTCATGAAGCTCCCGATGTACAGTTATTGTGCTGACATTGCTTTCAGAGGCAGTTTGGAACGCGGTAGTGAATGTTGCAACCGAGGACAGACAATTTCTACACGCTACGCGCTTCAGCACTCGGCGGTCCCGTTCTGTGAGCTTGTGTGGCTTACCACTTCGCGTCTGAGCCGTTGTTGCTCCTAGACGTTTCCACTTCAAAATAACAGCACTTACAGCTGACCGGGGCAGCTCTAGCAGGACAGACATTTGACAAACTGACTTGTTGGAAAGGTGGCATCCTATGACGGTGCCACTTTGAAAGTCACTGAGCTCTTCAGTAAGGCCATTCTACTGCCAATGTTTGTCTATGGAGATTGCATGGCTGTGTGCTCGATTGTATACACCTGTCAGCAACGGCAGTGGCTGAAAGAGCCGAATCCACTAATTTGAAGGGGTGACCACATACTTTTGTATGTATAGTGTAGATTTGGAAAGACCTGTTTCAGATCTGTAAGTCTCAGGTAAACATGTCTCAGAGGCACAGATAAACAGAGTTAGATTCCATTTCAATTCAGTCAATTCATGAAGTAAACTGAAATTGCTTTTCAATGAGGAAAATGTGAATTGGACTTTCATCAAATGAGCAGTGACGAAAAATCTGTTTAACCAAAACAAAATTCCTCATTAGTCGTCAAATCCCACACAGTCTGTTGACAGACGCTACGATACCAGTTATGTTGCGTGCATAACCTGGCTGCCTGCAGACGTTAACTTTCTATAGCTTTCAATGCCATCTCTTCTCCATGGCTCTGTCTGTGGCCTTTGAAGAAAGTATTGGATTTGAGTTTCCAGACTTTCTGTTGAACGTGTTTTGATCTGGCTGCCTGCAGAGAGAGACCTTCACACAGCTCTCTCTGGGTGCTCAAGTGTGGTGTGGGTACCCTCACTGTCTTTCACCCAGCACTCTCTCTCTCTCTGTCAGTCTGTCACTCTCTTCTCCTTTGAAGTGAGCTGGCTGACTTTCATTTTTCTCTTCAGGGGAAGTGTTAGAGAACAGTGGGGGTAATTAGTCCTATTGCCCCCGACAGAACCTCCAGTGCTACCTTGTGAAGAAGATCTCTGTCACGACTTCTGCCGTATTTTACCTCCTGCGCCTGACTCCTTCTTTCACACCTCGTCACAATCTCATTAAATGGAGCTGGGAGAAAATAGTTTGCTTGCCTCAATCCAGACTGAATCACGTGTTTCATTAGTGGAGTGAAACAGAGCTTAATTCAGTCTGGATTTGCAGGCTAGGAGTCTGCAATCCAATGCTAGTCCACTAGAAGAGACAGTCAGTCAGTCACTGCTTCTAATGCTTTAATGTGTTTTACATGTGAAGGCTACCCCTAGCAGTCAGTACAGCATATGGTTTGGAGACCGACGTCTCACTGAAGTGCGGTGAAATGCATTGCTAGTTTCTTAACGGGCAAGGCGAAAGCAGGAGACTAAACAAAACAAAAAATTATCTTTCTCCTTTCTCTTTTTCTCCCCTTTCTATAGTTTTTCTCTCTTCTAAAAATAGCTTTTGTCTGGCTGGTTTGACATCTGCTGTAATTATGTATCAGGGGATTCAGGATTTCTTCTGTCATGATGTAACTGACCTCTCTGGTGGAGGGGATAGATGCCAGCCGTGCATCTGCAGCCATAGAACTAGAATTAGCGTATCCTTCAAAGTATAGCTGTAGTGTTAGCAGTGCAGCTAGCCAGGCGTGCAGAGACAGTACTGGATTAAATGCGCTTCAGTGTAGTGGTTAGCATTAGCAGTACAGCTGTCCAGGTGTGCAGGTACAGGACTGGATTAAATGAGATATTAGCGTAGCACATGAAATTAGATCTCAGTGTAACCTTAGCATTAGCAGCACAGCTAGCCAGGCATTACCAGACTGGCTCAATGAGCTCTCAGTGTAATAATAATAATATGCCATTTAGCAGACGCTTTTATCCAAAGCGACTTACAGTCATGCGTGCATACATTTTTTTGTGTATGGGTGGTCCCGGGGATCGAACCCACTACCTTGGCGTTACAAGCTCCGTGCTCTACCAGCTGAGCTACAGAGGACCACATTAGCCAGTGAAACCATAAGCGTTAGCCAGGAAGAAGATGTATGGCCGTTGGCTAACCAATGGCTAACCAATGTGTGATTGTCTGTTTGGCTATGAAGATGAATATGTACATAGGCCTACACATAAACAAAGACTAAATCTCAGATGTGTGTGTGTGTTGTCTAATCTTACATAGTTGGTCAAATGGAGCACCCACCGAACAGGAAGTTGTACCCTCACCCCAAAGTAATTTAAGATGCTATAGATCGCTCTATAATCAATACACTCCCTTTATCTTACCCGAAATAAAGCCAAATAGGCACCTCTGAAGTTTCTCACAGAGAATCAATCAATCCCACAGCCAATTATGGTTAAAACAGTGCCATGTCTCTCTAATGGATAGTAACATCGAATGAAACGCATCACACTTTGAAATCTGTTAAATATTCTTATTCTGAGATGCTTAGTGAATACGTCCGTAAAGGATTTGGATATGTGAAAGCACTTAAAGGCTGTTTAAGCACCATTTTATTTGGTGAATTATAACGTTTAGTGCGTCTCTGGGTCACTCTACCATGGAGGGGTCAACGGTCATTAAACAGATGTAGAGATGGATAACGTTACAATTCAAGGCCTAATGATTACTCAGGTCACCTTCATTATGGGCGGCAGGTAGCTTAGTGGGTAAGAGCGTTGTGCCAGTAACCGAAAGGTCGCTGGTTCTAATCCCCGAGCCGACTATGTGAAAAATCTGTCGATGTGCCCTTAAGCAAGGCACTTAACCCTAATTGCTCCTGTAAGTCGCTCTGGATAAGAGCGTCTGCTAAATGACTAAAATGTAAAATGTAAAATGTAATTATTAGCATGCACTGAACAATGTGCACATGCATGCTATAGGCCCTATAGGCCTAAGCGTGTTGCTGCTGTTAGCTGTCATTTAGGCAAACCAAACTCAAGCCAGTTCTATGTGTGTGTGCGTGCCAGTGTGTGCGTGCCTGTGTGCGGGTGCGTGCCTGTGTGCATGCCTACATCTGTGAAAAATGCTGTGTTAGCGTTTAGTGTCCTGATGTGTCGCTCAAAAGCATCCGTTTAGTGAGTTGTTAGTTGATGAAGGCCGTGGCTGTGTCAGTGGTCTAAAGTGCTGCAGTGGTGCTTAACAAGCTGATCCTAACAGGGCTGATCCTAAGAAGGCTGTGAGCGGCACCAAGTCTGTATCTGCAGGTACTTTGTCAGCCTCTAGTCTTTCAGCTTCTCAGCACGTGGTTAATGCTGACAGCTGACAGACACCAGGACATTTTCTGTTAGCCTGACCAGGTTCTGTCCAGCCAGCTACTATGGACAGGGAAAACAACATATTCATTTCTTTATGACTGGGAATTAATGTGGCCTCACGTCATTTATTTGAAGTTGATCATCAAGCCATGTTTGTACTTTTGGTTGAACGATTTGTGAAGAATCTTTATAGGCTTGATAAAAGATTTGTGAAGTTTTCATTAAGCCGTAGGAGTTATTATAACATTATGAAGTCCTCTGCATTATACCTGGAGGCGATAAGTAAGTTATGTTTCCTCTAAAGTGGGGACAGCTTATTCTACTTGTAGTTATCCTGATATGCGTTCAGTAATGTAAATAGTAGCGAACGTTCACTAACACATTTAATTTGTTTTGTGTTAGCCGCGAACATTCGCTAACGCTAGCTAACAGTCTGAGGTAGTGTGCGATGAATGGAAGTGTCTGTTTCGGGTCTAAACTGTCAGTACAAATAATAAAGTGGCCATGTAGGCTTTTTATTACATGTAGTAGGAATAGCTACGTTTTTTTTCAGTTTGCAGCTAAAAAGCCACAGTAATCCTTACAAAAAGGAGATAAGTATTTGCAGCTTCACTGTAACATTTTGGAATGTTCATTCAAATCTTTCAACTGAAATTGTTACTAAGCAACATGTTTGCCGCAAACAATGGTCTAACTGATACAGTAATCCAGTGTGGCCCACATGTACTGTATCTGCAATGCTCTGAACATTCCACCATGCTTAATAAACCCCAGTATTAATAAAAAAGTGAGAGATTTGGTTTGGTGTCACTTAACTGTTGTCTTTTTTTTTTTTATCACATTATCCTTTTTACATGAATATGATTGACCTATTAATTTGTACATGTTTAAAGTCATCTTGGTTTTATTTTTATCATCTTCTTATGTCTTCTTTTCTTCTGTTTGATCATGCTCACTTCTTTCTTTATTTTCTTCCTCATCCCCCTGTTTTGTTCTGTTTGCATGGTCCCTCCTCCTCCTCTGCCTGTGTTTGTTTGTGGAACGTGAAGAACTGGAACCGTCGAGCTGTCACTCAAGTAGGCCTTTCATTATCAAGCCCACTTTGATTGAGTTGGTTTGGGTTCAAATATGATTATAATGATATGATAAAAAATAAAAAACATTTGCAATTGATAAACACAGACACACAGTCTACAGTCAGTATGTGCTTTATCATGCAGGATAAGTTCACACTTAAGCACACACACACACACTTCACGCAAATGTACTCTGTTCATGATTCAGATAGAAATCACGTGTTACATCATATTTTATTGTGTTGAGTATATGATTCCAAATGAACAGTCTTTCTTTCCTTCTGATTTACCCCTGAAACCTGGCAATGGTGTTTTGATTGAATTAATGCACAAAGACCCTAGCTAGTTGTCTTACAGTAAATTAATGGAAGGCCCGTGTGAGGTTATATCGACTGGAAGCAAGGCTATGGCTTGTTTCACAGCTGCTTGAGTACACCCTAATTTTATAGTCATAACATCAAATTAATATTATTAACGTCTAGGAAAGACTTCTTGATGCCAGCACACACATTCAGTATCCAAGGACTCCCTGGGAAACGGTGGCAAATGTTACTGAGTGGACTATCCTGGTTAAAAGAAAAGAAAATGCGTACAGACACATACATTTTGTCAACATGCAGAGACATATTGTTAAAGTCTCACGAGAATGCAGTTCTGTTAATCCTAGTGTTTGTTTATACCTTAAGCTACAGGTCCACCCTTCCGTTACCATAGAACTAAAACATTATTTCAACCTCTGCCTGCTCTCTCTCTCTCTCTCTCTCTCTCTCTCTCTCTCACACACCACTCACTCACTCACTCACTCACTCAATCACTCACTCAGGGGATCAGCAGTCTGTTCAGTTCTTTGAAGGTTGTCCGGCTGCTGCGTTTGGGCAGGGTAGCCCGTAAACTGGACCACTACATTGAGTATGGAGCTGCCGTCCTCGTCCTGTTGGTGTGTGTCTTCGGCCTGGCTGCCCACTGGCTGGCCTGCATCTGGTACTGTTCTGTTAAGACTGATTTACTGTATGTTAAAGGTAGAATCAGTGAAATGACGTTGCCACGAGCAGTACCACAGATATTGCGATAGCACAGCTCTCACACAGTCACACAAAGTATCTGCTCATGTGCAGGGGTTCGCTTCACGCTGTTACAACGTGGTAGGTACGGGACCAAAATAGCGGAGAAGTTTAGCCTTGCGCTTCAACACGCTTAGTTGTTGTGGAAATTGACTAACTATGCTGTTTACTTTGTGCATCTACGTCATATCGCTGAGTCTACCTTGAATGTGTTATAACAGTACTTCCCAACCCTCTTATCCGGGACCACCAGATGTTTCACATATTTGTTGTAGCCCTAAACTGGCACACCTGATTTAACTAGTCAAGGGCTTGACGATTAGACAACAAAGATGTGAACCATCTGCTGGACCCCGAGGAGAGGGTTGTTATAGGAGTTAATAATGTGATATAAAGTCATTATGTAGGTAACATACATATAAACTGTTATCATATTATTAATATAAACTATCACAGCGGCCAAAACAATCTGGCTACTGTATTTGTTAATTGCATATTCCTTTAGTGTTTCTCAATCCGTTCCACTCTGATCCCCAACCGTGGCATGCTTTTGTTCTACTACACCTGATTTAATTAATCAAGAAGATTAGTTGTGGATTAGTTTACAAGTTGCTAGTGCTAGTAGGGAATTAGAACAAAAATGCAAAGTGAAATGACTGGGGAGTCTCTGAGTAACGGATTGAGAAACACTGCCTTTAAAAACCATCATGCTCTGTAGTGTTGACAGTGTCATGCTCTGTAGTGTTGACAGTGTCATGCTCTGTAGTGTTGACAGTGTCATGAAGGAGAAGTATGTTTCTGTTTCTCACCCGCATTGTCATGCACTGCTTTGTAACTTAACCGAAGTGAACAAACCTCTAACCTGTGTCGTAGAGGTAACCCTAACGCTATCCCTTCCCTTACCCCTAAACCTTAACATGGCTCTTTCTCGTCTCAACCTAACAGGTACAGCAGCTACCTGGTTTTTGTTCTTGTCTAACTGGGCTTTAACAATAAAGGATGCAATTTTGAAGCAAACCTTCATTGTGCAATCAAGAGTTGCTGAATATCTTTATAATCTTGACTGACTATTACAGGTACAGCATCGGTGACTATGAGGTGATAGACGAGGAGACAGGCATCCTGCGGACAGACAGCTGGCTGTACATGCTGGGGGAGACAGTGGGCTCGCCATACCGCTTCAACGCCAGCGGCACAGGGAAGTGGGAGGGCGGCCCCAACAAAGACTCGGTCTACATCACATCTCTATACTTCACCATGACCTCTCTGACCAGTATAGGATTTGGAAACATCGCCCCCACGACTGATGGAGAGAAGATCTTCGCTGTCGCCATGATGATGATCGGATGTAAGTATATGGGACTCCATGTTTTTTTGTCATGATCTGAGGTAGTGTTTCCCAATCCTCTCCTGGAGTACCCCCAGCCAGTCCACATTTGATGTATTCCAGAACTAGCACAGTTGATTTAGCTATTGAGGGGTTTGATGGTTAGGTGACCATTTAAATCAGCTGTGCTAGTTCTGGAATACGTTGAATTGCATTGTTGGTTAAGGGCTTGTAAGTAAGCATTTCACCTGTTCTATTCTTCGCATGTGACAAATAAAATTTGATTTGATAAAATAAGTAGACTGGCTGTGGGTACTCGAGGAGAGGTTTAATAAACACTGATTTAAAGGTTAAGAGTGCCCTCTGTGGATCTATTGGCATTTTCCCCATTTGGTAGCATTATAAATGAATGAATGAATTAATGTGCCCCTCTCATGTCTCATGATGGAATGTTGTTGTTAGAATTGAATGAATTGGTTCTAGATAAGTGAAACGCTGGAGTAGCACTGCTTTGGTAATATGTGTTGGATGGTGCAAGATATTCTCATTCTCACCCCATCACACAGGGCTCCAATGAACCTTAAGGGCTCTGCTACGAATTGATTAGACCAACCCATCAGCTCGTAGTCCCTTAAACTGTCTGCATCAATGGCCCTGCAGTCTATCTAGACAGTGAACAGGGAGCACATCAAACACTCTACTGTCCACAAAACCATGCTCTGACACGTTTTCACATCATTATATTAACATCACAAAGGCATGAGCATTGAAGAGTTTCATTCCAAAGTGCTATATATCAATTTTCAGACATTTTGGTAAATTATTTTCCTTTTTTAAAATCTTTTTTTTTTACAACTTTTGAAAGAGATTGGTGTGTTTTTTCACCATCTAATCATGGCATGGTCTTGTTGAACGATAGACATGTATTTGTTTGAAATCTATCACTTGATGGTTTCATTTCAGAGAGACAAATAATCATGTTTTGTTGCAAAACGCTATGTATCTGCCTCACTCTCAGAGAATTAAGTAGTACTATAGGTTTTACACAGTGAAATGTGACAAATAACTACATTTTTAATAAAGAACTGTACAAATGATACTTTTGTGACATCAATAGTTAATATGACAAGCAATACAGTAATATGAAATCTGTATGTAAAATATTTACATTTGACATTTTAGTCATTTAGCAGATGCTCTTATTCAGAGTGACTTACAGTTAGGTAATTCATCTTAAGATAGCTAGGTGAGAAAACAACATATCACATTCAAATATACAGGATAAAAACATTCCATTCCAGCTAAACAATGGATATAGCATTTTGCAACAAAACGCATTTTAATATCTATGAATAAAAAAATCTGAGTATAGTAATATTTTTCACAAACATGAAGGTACCCTTTTCCCAAACATTTCGGATGAAAAAATGTGAAAAATTGGTGGATATAGCGTTTTGGAACGAAACTCTTCAATTTGTATGGAGCAAATAATGTGTGTGTGCCACTCACGAGCTGTTTGAAAGGTTAATTCAGGGTTGTCTGTCTCTTTCATCTGTCTCTTCCTTACAGTATCTCTCAATCTCTTCAACAAAATGGCTGTTGTTACTGCAACTCACATAATCATTAATATCATATCTGTCAATGTGGTTATGGCAAGATGTAGGGAATGATCGTCACCCATCCATCCTTTTTATTCCATCCATTCATTTAATTTCATCCATCCTATTCAAGTAAGGCTACATCTAAAGACAGCCGGAGACTGACACACGCAGACAGAAGCATGCAATATAGAGCAGACAAGTTATTTTTTACCATATGGCTCATTGGCTCTCAGTTGTGTGGTAGTAGCAGCAGCAGGAGAACCTGGGGCAATATACTAGGCAGTCAGTGGTGGTTGGTGCTGTTCAAGATTAGGGAGGACAAATGTTTTTTATGAGCATGGCCTTATTTCTATTACATCATACTGGATGACTGTCATTCATATTCCATTCACCAAGATCAATGTAACATCGATAGGTGTAGGCTACTACATGATACTCAAATTTGCCCTGTACCCATCATGAGGTTGCTACAACCTAGCCTACAAATGAAAGTTTATAATGTAGGTGCACAGGTCGAGAAACAAATTGGAGTAATCAAGGTGACAGACAGTGACACATTCAATACCGCTGTCACGCTCGTCGGGAACAGAGGAGGACCAAGGCTCAGCGTGGAATGCGAACATTTTATTATTATGAAGTATCACACGAACCAAACAACAAAACGAAAACGTGACGTCCCTGGTTACATACACAAACCAACACGGAACAAGAAACCACCCCAAATGAACGCCTAACAGTTACTTAAGTATGGCTCCCAATCAGAGACAACGAGCTACAGCCATCTCTGATTGGGAGCCATCCTGGCCAACATAGAAATACAACAACTAGAACAAACACAAATGAAAACTCACACCCTGGCTCAACATACTAGAGTCCCCAGAGCCAGGGCGTGACAGTACCCCTCCCTAAAGGCGCGGACTCCGACCGCGCCAACCAAATACCACAGGGGAGGGACCGGGTGGGCACTCCGCCTAGGCGGCGGATCCGGCTCAGGGCCTGATCCAACCCCCCAAAGTATCCCTGGTCCGGTCTGGCCCCGCTGGCCGGAGCTGGACTGCACACTGGTGGAGCGGATTGCTCTAGCTCCGGCGTGAAGCATCTGACCGGTGCCGGACCAGGCACCGGTGGAACAGGCACGGGACGTGCCGGACTGACGACGCACACCACTGGCTTGGTGTGGGGAACAGGCACGGGCCGTGCCGGGCTGACGACGCACACCACTGGCTTGGTGTGGGGAGCAGGAGCGGGCCGGACCGGGCTGGCGATGCGCACCATTGGCTTGGTGCGGGGAGCAGGAACGGGCCGGACCGGGCTGGCAACGCGCACCATTGGCTTGGTGCGGGGAGCAGGAACAGGACGGGCCGGGCTGGCGACGCACACCATTGTCCTGGTGCGGGGAGCAGGAACAGGACGGGCCGGGCTGGCGATGCGCACCATTGGCTTGGTGCGGGGAGCAGGAACGGGCCGGACCGGGCTGGCAACGCGCACCATTGGCTTGGTGCGGGGAGCAGGAACAGGACGGGCCGGGCTGGCGACGCGCACCATTGGCCTGGTGCGGGGAGCAGGAACAGGACGGGCCGGGCTGGCGACGCGCACCATTGGCTTGGTGCAGGGTGCAGGAGCAGGCCGGGCCGGGCTGGCGACGCGCACCATTGGCCTGGTGCGGGGAGCAGGAACAGGCCGGACCGTACTGGGGACACACACCACTGGCCCTACGCAGGGATCTGGAATGGGCCGGACCGGACTGGTAACACACCCCAGTACCTCTCGCCGTGCCTCTACACCTTCCATCCCCTCTTCGACCAGTAGCCCCCGTAACCTGGCGGCCTCCTCTGCCAACCCGCTGGGCCGCTCTGTCGCGGTCTCCTGCTGGCCCGTCGTCCACGGCGTTAGCCCCCCCCTAAAGAATGTCTGGGCGTCTCTCCTACCCGTGGACCAGGTCTCCATGTCCCTCGCCAGACTTTCGCCCTTCTGCTTCCAAGTCCGGCCCTTCTCTTCCTCACCCGGCTTGACCCAGTCGAGGAGGCGAAGGAGATCTGCTAGAGATCTCCCTGGCGATGGCTCCTGGACACGCTGCTTGGTCCAGTCTTGGTGGTTTCTTCTGTCACGCTCGTCGGGAACAGAGGAGGACCAAGGCTCAGCGTGGAATGCGAACATTTTATTATTATGAAGTATAACACGAACCAAACAACAAAACGAAAACGTGACGTCCCTGGTTACATACACAAACCAACACGGAACAAGAAACTACCCCAAATGAATGCCTAACAGTTACTTAAGTATGGCTCCCAATCAGAGACAACGAGCTACAGCCATCTCTGATTGGGAGCCACCCTGGCCAACATAGAAATACAACAACTAGAACAAACACAAATGAAAACTCACACCCTGGCTCAACATACTAGAGTCCCCAGAGCCAGGGCGTGACAACCGCCTTGCACACACTTGCCTGCATCTAGCTGATCTGAGGTGTAATCATTAGTCCAAACATTTGCAAAATGTTTTGTTTTGAAACAAAACATGAGTTTCTATTGGACAAATTCAGGTAGGTCCCTCCCCGTTTTGTTCAGTTTGCTTCCATTTAAGAAATGTTTTGCAACAGAATTGGCGGAATGAATACACCTCTAATTACCCGAACACACAGTTCACTTTCATAGCAGCCACAAACAGCATCATCACTTTGTTAGTTGTATAAATCTCCTTCACGCATCTACGCGCTCTCCTCTCACCGTTTCTCTTCACTTGTGGACTTCAGTGCACAACACAACAGCTGTATGTGAACAGGTGCAAAAATCTCTCCAAGCCAAACCTTCATATCATAACCATTAACCGCTACACAGCATACATCATTGACACCATATTAACGGTATAGTCAACAAACTAGAACTAGTTAGTAAACCCACAATCCAATCCATGTGTACAGTCACACAGTACAGTGTACAGCAAGCAGTTTAGCAGTTACACCAGTGGGCCCCGGTGGCAATAGATTAATAAAACCGAAAGCTTGACTTGGAACAGTTGTAGTGTTGGATAGCCTTAGCCAGTTAGCTAACATAAATAGCATTCCTCTCTGTTTTAGTCAGGTTGTTGAATAGGCTAAATTAGCTGCATTAGCTAAGTGAAAGATAAACTAAGAAAAAAAAAACAATGAAATATAGCTATCTCTCTCGCTCTGCTGCTTCTCCTTAATTTTTTTAATTAATTTGTTAAAAACTGTTCAACTATTGTCTTTATTTTTTTAGTCAACTACTCACCACACAATTTTTTAAAAACCTTTATTTAACTAGGCAAGTCAGTTAAGAACAAATTCTTATTTACAATGACGGACGACCCTGGGCCAATTGTGCGCCGCCCTATGGGACTCCCAATCACGGCCGGTTGTGATACAGCCTGGAATCGAACCAGGGGGTCTGTAGTGA